ATTCAGTGTCAACTTATATTCTGTTAAATATGGAAATTCTATTTGAGCCTTTTGACATGTGAAATGGCAAATTTTGTCTTTTAATTACATTCTTATTAGATTTTGTAACCTAGGAAGGTTATTTTTAGTATTCAGAAGTGCATTTTGGTACAAATGAAGTAATCTAACAGAAGAATATTTTCAATTATTGTTAATAGTTTTCTGCTACAAAAAGGAATAAAGATGAAAATGAATAAAATTCTTAAATTTAATAGTAAATACTTCATTTTTTAAAAACCCTTTATCATGCATATTTGGCTGTTGCAACACATATCTTAGGACTCGATAGTGAAAAGAAATCCAGTCGTCACTGATGACTAGGGACAGAATTTCCATGCAAATGCATGTTTTTATGAAAGCTTCACAGTTTTCAAATTGTTAACTTCTTAGCAATGTTTACATGCTTTGATAGTTTTGGGGAGAAATTCATCCATGGTGCATGATAGGACATTTTTTATTTAACACTGCATATTCATACATTTAGAATATTGAGGTACTCTTTTTTGCACTTAAAAAAGGTACTTATTATGTGTAAACAACATATTATTCTTATATTCTGACAGCACTCAGTGGATTTTGCTGCTTGTTATTTTATAATGCTTGTTAATTCCTAATACAAGCCCTCTAATGCACATTCTGCCATAGGTTAAATTTATAAGTAAATAGCACTCTGTTAAACCTTCAACGGCTTGGGCTTCAACTGCCCAGGGTGAGTGCAATATCACTTCAAGGCAGCTTTAAGTGAAAAGTGCAGTCATCGGCACCACGGATGTAGGTAGCCCGCTGTGTGTATTATGCAACGGGAGCATCTTAGCTCAGTTGGCATTGTGCTTCCCAACTTTGAAAATGTGCTCTACTCTGAAAATGATTTGCATTGCGGAAATTGGGGTAACCAGAAATAAAAATAACTTTACAATAATTTATTTATTATGTACATCAATATTTTAATACAAATAATTAATTTTTCGAAACCATACAGCACAAGTACTTTAGAATAGCAGCTTATCATATGGGGGTCAAAGACTTTTCATACGTCATGAATAGGGAGATCTCTCTTTACGCCAGAACTTGCCTTCTCTAAGATTGTATAAAGACAATGTAGATGTCTGGCCGAAATCATTGAAAGGTATTGATTGCTCATTGTTAAATCTACTTAATTTTATGATTCTGACTGTACACACTTAGAAACCACAAAATAATTTTTTGTCAAGAGTTTTTAAGCATTTTTATACAGCAAATGATTTCATAAGTAGAATTTATCATGTTATTGATAAATTTAATATCAACCTTTTTATTGAGAATGATGCTAACTTTGAAAGTGAATTGCAGAGCAGAATACTGAAATTTGAATAATCAATATGTTATATTTTATTTAATATATTGGTATAATTTCATGGTTCCTTTTTAATTTTTCTTCATATATGATGTACTACACTGTGATATTAAGTTGTTTACATTTAAGTTAGAAAAACGTATAACAGAAAAAGAAAATCTGGTTGTAAATTTTTTAACAATACTGTTAGAAAATTATAAGCTTACAAGGTCTGTCCCAAAAGTAATTAGTCACTTCTTTTTTCACATGACCAAATTCCGAGAGCAGCCAGACTGGTTTGGATACGGTAAGGAGAGTTCTAGCTATTCAACAGTTCCAAGCTCAGTCACCTCCGTGCCCTGGGAGGTTAGAATGTGTCATTTTGTAAGCTTCTGTATAGTAGTCGCATTGTACTTACAATGGAAAAATCTGTGGATCAAAGATGCACGATAAAGTTTTGCGTAAAGCTGAACAAAATGCCACTGCACGCTTTCGAGATGTTTCATCCTAATTTTTTGGACAATGTTATCACAGGGGATGAGACATGGATCTTAGAGTAGGACCCGGAAACAATGGGGAAGAGTGCAGAGTGACTCCCCCCCAAGTCTCTACTTCTGAAAAAGGCTCGCAAGAACAAATTTGTGTTTTGCTCATTGCACTTTTCACACAAAGAGAATAGTGCACAGTAAGTGCAAACCTTCTGGACACTGTAAATGCCTAGCTTAAAAAAGGGGTCTCAAGAGATTGAACAACAGGGTTACCCATGTCCAAAAGGAGATCAGCACTAGATAGAAGCTTCACTATGACAATACACTGGCCCACACCACCTTCGTTCCCTTGGCTGAAAAGGGTCTTGAAAGAAACACATTTCAACATTTCAGACAACATTAAAGCAAGTATGACAAGGGCTCTAAAGGTCTTCTATTCCAAGCACTTCCTGGGAGCATCCGAGGCATGAATATCACGCTGGCAAAAATGTATGGATGTACAAGGGACATACTTTGAAGAATTTTAAATTGTTGATCTATCTAATCAATTATTTTTTCTTTAAAAGATGCAATGCATGACTTTTGGGACATATCTCATAATATTCTCAATAAATCACATTTTCCAGAAAGAAAGTTCTAATTTTTGAAAAAAGTCTGATATTTGACCATTTGCTTTTACCTGCACCTTAAGTATAAATTTCTCACTCAAAATGTGATAGATGCCCCATAACCACCCACATTACTTGATTCCCACTTATTTCGTACAAATGGGCCAAATGTTTAAAGATGAATGTTGACAAAGATATTGCAAAGACACATCAAGCGACACGCGAATAACCTTTACTCTTGTGGCTTTGTTCAGTCTCCGTAGTTTCCATCAGGTTCCAGGCCTTGCCTACCATCAAAAAGGAACAACCTGAACTCTGAACACCAATTCTTTGAGCAGCATGATGTAATCTTCCTCATGTATCAGTCATTCGCATTTACATACTGCAGTTAGGTGTTTTATTATCGACATATAAGTGTAAAAATGAATAAACGTAAAACACTATTTGAAATAATTTAACATGGGAAGTACAGGAACGTAGCTAGGACTAATAAATGACTTGCCACAAATGCGAAAAAACATTGTTAAGTGTATAATTGTAGTTTTACTGTATTTTTTAAATAATGAGTTTATTTGGCAGTGGCAGTAATGTAATATGCTACATAGTACATAGAAGACGAAATACTTTAAATAATCATTGCTTTAAACTACAACAGAAAAAATTGGAGAAACAGAAACAAACACTTATCAATATTAAAATTTTTGTAAAGAAAACAAAATGCTACTAGAATCAGTGTCCAGCGTCTGTGAACGACGCACTGCAAACGAGAGGAATAGCAAATAAAAGGCCCTTCCGTCTTGAAATGGTTTACTGAGAATGACAAAGAAAACCTTTCCCGCCCAAACATGGTATACCACAATTGGAAATGAAAGGGAATTGATCTCTAGAGATGGAATATCCCGCTGAAGGGTTAATTAGGCATTTTCTGGACAGTAAAGCATTGCTCTATCTCTCCCTCTTTTTTTTTTGTGTGTGTGTAAAATAGTTTATAGCAATAATTAAGAAATTTAGATGAACACAATGATTAATTACATGTTTACAAGAGTAGCTAGAAGATTTCGAAAAATTCTTAGTTGTTCACCGCAACTTGAAAAGAAACAAGTTAACTAAAATTTCATGGTGCAAATTTTGTCCCTGCAACGTGCATATTTGGCCATTTGGTAATGCCCAGAAATCATGTATCCACTTACAACAAACCAAAATGCCCTCTGAAATTCAGCACATACTATTTATTTGCATTACCTAAGGCTTGGAGGGCATCTGAAAGAAGGGGACAATGGATGTAATTACTGGGCATACTGGACAAGAGGTCTAGCACCCAACACAATATGTTGTGGCAAAATGGTGACAATGTATACTGTCATATTTTTCTTTTACCTATCAATGAAACATTGTTTTTAGCTATTTTATTTCTCCTTACTCCAAAAACTTATGTCTCAAAACTTGCTGACTGGATTTTTGTCATAATGAAATGAATCAATCCCAATTTTACCCACGTCAAAAAACTTTAATCAAGGGTCAATCATTTTTAGAGCGATTCCTTTAACACTTCGAATCATTTGAACTCATTACCTATTATTTAACTGAAATATAGAAAAAAACAGACACAAAATTAGATTTTAAAATTCCCTCGTAAATTGAATAGGTTTTCATCTTTTTATTGATGAAATTTTTAAATACAAATTTAATACATAGAATATAATATATATCGTGCAAACATTAGATTCAGGAAATTTTAATATTCTTATTTTAACTGGCTTCCTTTCTCCAATCTAAATGCTGAGGTCAACAACCATGTACATAACTTCGAAACACTTGTCACTGAAGAATCTTCAAATGAACATCATAAGTCAACAAGTCCAATTTACTTAATTTCAGGAGGGCATTGTTATTAGCTAGAGAAAATATTTCATGAAGATGATAAATCATCAGTGATAAAAAGGTTATTTGTAAAACTCATTGTTAATTGTACAAGTGATCCATCAGAAGAATTCCAAACTGTTGATTCGCTCAATACATTTGGTCAGTGTCCTTGCGAAACACCTTGCAACTTCTACAGATATCATCATATCACACCTCCAATAGAGAAGTGACACAAGTGCAAATTTCTGATTTCTCAGAAATAGCAATTTTAAGTTTTGTAGTTCTGTAATACTCATTATAAATTGTACCAAATATTCACCTTCTAGGGGACAGTAATTGAACTAATTCAAAATCAACTTCAGGATAGTAGCAGTACCTCTTGGTAACCCATCAGCTTTTAGCTGAAAAATGACGATTTCGCATGTGTGTCACTTTTCTACTGAAGGCGTGATATGTAACATATTCAAACTAAATGCCACCAAAGGTTGTGCAGTCATCCCACACATGACTTTCGAAGGAAAAGTTACAGCCCCAATACCTTCTGTGTGCGGTACTATCACAAGTGTAAAGTCTGAGTCTAATGCAGTCAATCTAATCATATCCTGAATGTATATCTAATAAGCACAAAGTAAATTTAGTAAGCATTGAACAACTGTTAATATATAAATAAGAGAAACAAATTATACTCACGATAAATTAAATTTGAAATTGAATTGCCATGTTGTGTATGACCCGCCAGGTGTTTTTCCATTTTCATCCAGGAATGTCAGACCAAGTTGAATGATCCGAAGCAGATCAACATTACACCTCAAAAGCTGGTACTGATAATCCGCTGTACTTCTGAATTCCCCTATTGGTCTTGCAACAACTCCCGGAAACTCTGTATCCTAAAATAGAAATTGAATTTTCAAATCCTATTATCATTAACAACCTAAGAAAACAACAATACAAAATAACTCAAAAACTCCTGCTTAAATCATACCATGGCAACATAATGGTATTTCTGTACAACTTGACGAATTGTCTTGAATTCATCTTCCAAATTATGTCTCCAAACATCCCTGATACCACACTCTTCATTGCTTGGAATGTTTGTATGATGTGAACTGCTATTGTTTCCTAAGACACAAAAATACACTTTAATTTCTTTTAATCATTCAATTTAAGGAGGTAATTTATTATTTTAATTAACATAATTATTGTTGTTTTTTGAATTAGGGAGGCAACCAACAAACTTGATGAAATGTGAATTCCTGAAATTTCTATGACATTCTTCAGAAAAATTTATATCATAAATTAAACCTAGTTAGTTTGTTCTCGATATTTTCATAATTTTCCCAAACATAATAAATTTTGAAAAATTTTGGATTAAGTAAATAACAGAATGACTAATTTGATTGGCATTCAAACAGAATTTCTTTCTTACAGATAGTGATTAGTTGTTTTCCAATCAAGTAAAGGCATCATCAAATTTTATAACAATTGCTGCAAAATCACTATTGCCCAAAACCAAGGGTAGTATAAACTCTGATCATAGTAAACGAGATATTGTCATGAAATAGATTATCCTGCAACTATTTTACAAGGCAAGAGTACATCATTGTAAGCTCCATGACATCAAACAGATCATCTTTTATTATTAACAATGGCTTACAAAAGCTAAAAATTGAGTCTATTTGGTTGTTCACAACCTATTAAAAATACAGCAGAAGAAAAAGAACAAGTAAAAAGATTAATAAGACAATTAGTATAAATAATTTAAACAGGCCCTTATAAGAAATAGAAATACAATTTTCTTTGTTTTCCGAGATGAAATGAACAATGTACTACTACTACTACAACAATGTACAACAGTTGGCTTTGTAATTTTCTCATATATATATATACACACACATACATATCACTTAACCTATAAATTCAGTTTTTATTTTTGAATCAAACCCTGGCTTAGTCAGATCTAGAAACCTCTCCTCACAAATGAAATGATTCATTTTCCTTAACAATAATGAAGTTTCATGACTTACAGACAACTTAAATCCAATGCTTAGAATACTGGTCAGTGGAAAGTATTGGGTCCCAATAAAAGTTCAATGTGAATCTCAGTATCAATTCTCATCCCTAAAGCCTGAATTGTCATAAGAACAATTCAGTCAGCCACACAGTAATGGTCTGAGAAAGCAGTCTACTACTAACAATCCAAATATGAAAAAGCAATACACAAGAGGTATCATTTCAATGCAAAAAATTGCATTCATAATCATAATAAGGCAATTGCATTGCAACGATACTCATAGTATCATTGCAATACAAATGTCTTATTATGAATATGTTAATGATTCTCAGACAAATTTCTTTGAATGCAACAGATTCTCAGATAACTAAAATGCATAATTATTTAACCATTTATTTATAATCTAAAAGAAGAAATAGGAGAACTTACAAAATAAAACAGGAAACACCACTGTATTGCTTAAAATATAAACTCTTCAATTTACTTATTTTTGGTACCATTATTTTCTAATTGTATTCCTCCTCCTCACCATGCATGAAATTACAATAATGCTTTTTCAACAATCTCATTGAGAAGCATTTCTTTCATTTACTGTAGTGCCTCCATTAACCAGGGGCAATGTCTGGGAAGGGTCTACCAATATCAAGAAATAATCAAATTATTTTTTTTCAGATCAAACATGTTAATTAGAAAGTCAATTAAGAAAAAAATGTGCAATTTTTTTTCTTTAGTTTACAAAGTAACACATTATATTCACAATTATTTCTACTCATCAGGTAGTGGGCAATTTTCACAGGATAAGGGCACAGATCCATTAAATCAACTAATTTATTCATTAAATTATCTGAAGGTTGTAGTTAGTCCTGCCAATGACATTTGTCCAACTCATTCACTTAATCATTCATTATATCCCTAAAAATAGGATTCCCAGATAATCAAACCATGGATAACAGAATTTCCGCTGCATTTACAAATTTGCCTAAACCAACAAATTTGCTTTTATACAACACTTCCCTACCCATAGCATCAAACCAGAACAAGTGTTATCCAAAAACCAAGTCTAAATACGAATTCTCTTTTCAAAGTTAATGAGTGAACATTCTGCTTCATCATATTGTGGTAAAGGAGAATGAGCAGGAGATGAGAAAGAGCTTTTTGCTCTATTTTGGACTATTGGGTTTGAGAGGGATTAGGCTCCACTGTGATTACATATAAGGCAGGTATGCTCAATAGAATCCTCTATCAAAGAATATGTAAACAAGTAATCTTCAATAACCATTCTTGTTCTTCCGCCAAATGTCAATGCTATTCTTACCTCATATCTGTATACTGACAAATCGTTAGGTTGCTTCTGGATGTTGGGTAAGCTAGATATCCTAAGCATCCAGTTAAGAATATCCTATCTTTCTTGAACCTTGCACAGCCTTGAAAAATTCAATTCTTAAGAAATATAATTTGGCTCAACCCCCATTTTGTTGCTGTTTAACAACTCTGCTACTTCATTGCCTGAGAAGTCATAATGACTAGGAATCCCTTGAAACCTGATTTGTTTATTTTAAAATTTTTATAAATATGGAGAAATTTTTCTTTAATTGGTAAAACGTGGTAATGTAAGAAAGATCAAAGTGCTGATTAAAAATCACAGAAAATAAATACTTCAAATTATTTCACATGAAAAAATAATTTCCAATGTGCTTTTACAAATAACTTTATTTCACTGAGAGCTTATTTAAAGGTATGTTTATTGTGTAGACTTCTGATCAGTTGTGAGGTTTACAAAAAGAGCATTACAATTTAATTTATTGTATTTTAATTCTTCAACTTAAAAAACTCAATAAATTTTATATTGAAATAACATTTTGGGTATAGGCTTCAGTCAGTAACAATGTAGGATCCCTTTTGTTAACAAGCACACTTCTCATGAAATAATGTTGCAAAACATTTCTCAGAGCTTCTCTTCTAAAGCTCTACCAAATTAGTTTTGTCATACTAATCAGGAATTCATTTTCTTCATTTAATACTTTCAATTACAAGTAATCTTTTATAGTGATCCAAACTAATAACAAAATTGTATTACAACTCCCTTTTAATGTTGCCACCCATTATTCATTTATTGCAAAAACAAATCAACCATTCTAGAATCACAACCATGCAACACAATTTGGGAATAAAGATCACGAGATTTGGTCAGAATAACTTAAAACATTCAGTTCGCCTGGAATTGGTGTCAGAGTAAATTAAAACATTATAACATTCAGTTTGCTCAGGGACATTGAATGCTTTAATGTATTCCTTAATCTGACCAAATCGTATGATCTCTATTTTCAATAGAATCAATTGTTAACATTAGGTTTGTTTAACTAATGGTAGCATAATTAGGGCAAACCATACTTGTGTAGAAACAGAACAGATGAATAAACAAAAGACTAATAGGTACAGTACACTCTTACAATGATTAAAAACAATGAAGGAAACATTTTTTACTGATTGTAACACATTTTATAAATTGACATTTCACTTTAACTGCAGATTTACATAACATAATACTTAGTTACACAACTACAAGTTCTTGAGAAATTATAAAAAAAAACATTTAAAAACCAATCTGAACTGGACTGAATTTGGGATACAACTATCCCAACGTACATAGTTAATGAAAATAGATAATCATATCAATCATCAAAACCAAACCCAAAATACTACTAATAATAATACAATGTTGCTGAATTTGTTATTGACAACACATAATCTTTATACAGTTGATGATTGACAAAATTTTGCTCTCATTTCAAATTTGCCACTGATTTAGTACTATTTCAAAAAATAGAATAACTACAAGAAAAACTGAATAACAATAAAATATATTTAAAATAAAAAATAAATCCAATACTTACCTGTAGCCGTTGGCATTGCAGAGTACTCTAATTTTTCGTGATAATGGTGACTCCAGTATACATTGAAAGCAGCGCCAAGAATTCTATTATTTGCTGGTATAACACACTGTGGATCCAAATAATACTGTAAAGTAATACACTAAATTAATAAAAATTCTCTAGCAAGAACCATATCACCCAGAACTGTAATTTGATATCCTTAATGTGCCTACTCCTCATTCTATTCTCTTTACAACTCAGCGAAATTTTGCATTTAAACGGCATTACATCAAGAAATTACGTAGAGTATAGTGCATCATATTAAAATTTATTTTGCTCTTGAAAGGTCTCAAATTTCACATATAATATACATCATTATTACCTTTAAATTTCCAGTTTTGTATGTAGGTATTTTTACGTTCTGTTTCAGATAAATAAAATTATTGGCATCATGTGGATACACCACTTTCATGGGATTCTCAAATGGACTAGAAAGGAAACAAATAACCCAACGTGTCACAAGAGCACAATGGTAATGTAAACAAAAGTTCAGCAAAATCAGTAACACTTAAAAGAATATTCAGATTGAATATTGCACTGAATGTAATACGAAACCAATATACTTGCTTTTCATTAGACATGATGGAATCTCTTCTCTCAACTTTCAGATAATTGCATTTTAACACCCTGACACTGTAGCTCTATTTGTTACCGAATGTTGTCAGTTTCTCAAACGCTAGTCACTAGCAATTTCCAGCAGGTGAAATTAAATTCCCATAGTAAAAATCACTCAAGAAATGAGAATGTTTCCCATTCATAATAATCAACTTGACATAACTTTCTCCTGTTGTCTACACTAGACACAGTACACCAAGAGGTCTCAATCATCAACACAATACCACGCTATTGCACCTAGTCACTGAAGACTTCTGCACTTCTCACAGATGACAGTAAAACCAACCTCACTTTAACCAACCACTGTACACAAGAGTTCAGAAGAGATAGGCTACACATCATTGACAATATGTTGCACTGTTTGGGTTTCATTATTTAAACTTATATCTTAAATTCTTTTATTAAATGTATTTTGAATACGATAGAAACTTCAATCAGACAAACATCGTCAGAAATAATTAAAAAATACAAAACCATGAATGATGAAAATGATATAGAACAATACGAACACAATTGATGTTAAGAAATAAAACAATGCACCAAATGTGACACACTCCTTTCAAAACTCTATTTAATAGCAACTGCACTATTGTGAACTTACAGGTTCCACACAAAGATCAAAATGCACTTCATTACATACACAAACACATAGAGCTAAGAGGTTCAGCAAGTTTCATCTAGAAAGATGATTCATTCCTCGGAAACACGAAACTCGAGCTCAAGATTTACAATGACAAAAAAGTAAGACATTTAAATATAATACCTATCATGGCAACGATGTAGAGATTCTCCGCCGGATTTTCAGGCATTTGATGAATTTTATGCATGCATAGACAATACAGATGCACAACCAACACTTGGCACTTGCCGTCGATAGCAGTAAATCGAACAGCTGAATCGCAGCTCACATCATTGAATGACGCTTGCAGAAGATGGTCTGAAAAATCTTTTGAACTGAATTGCTTTTAAATTCTTGCCAAAAGATCGCGCTAAACGCCCCCGTTGGAGTAAAAATTTTGTCCAATGGACCATAGATGGCTGTGCAATCGCCTTCTGAGAGCCCTCAGGACAAATTTATTATTAGCCCCAGACTTACGAAACTAGTGGAGCTACAACCTCACAAACTTTCTCAGGTTCTCTGTAACAAGTAAGTAATATTCATACAATAGTATTGCAATCTTTTCTTACCAACTTTCTAGCTATCTCGTAAAAGACTTCAGTCACGAAAGCGCGGGAGATTCGAATTTACAATTTTAGAATGGATTTTTGAAAGTTCGCAAGTTTTAATGATAACCGGATTTATATTCTAAGAACAGTTTGCTCTTCTCGAAGTAATATTTTTTTAAATTTTCCTTGGGATTGTCGGAAATTGAAACTAGGCCAATATAAAATTGCTGGAAAATAAAATTTCCCGGCGTTAACCCACCAGACCACGACGTCATGCTCTGTGATTCTCCAGAAACTGTATTGTAAATGTTTGCCTTGATATGTCAGAAAGTTTCCCCAAATGCACTCACTCGCAAGATCATATTACACGTGCACGTTTTCTTGAGCCCCGGAATACCTACCCCCACTGCTTTGCCAACATTAGTTGAATTAAGAATACATAATAGCGACGAACGTTGCAATCAGCGTTGAAGACAAAATCTGATAACCAGAAATGTTTGCTCCCGTGTAATAGAAATTATATTGCATCGTAAAACGAGCTACAGATTTGATATAGTTGTATTGACGAAATAACAAACCATCCACTCGTCTATTTATTTTTATTCATTTATTTACGTCAAAAACAATTTAAAACTGTGTTACGAACTATGGGGAGAAGTTAATTTGAAGTTACATTTATGTCCAGAAGCAAAACAAGGGGCCATCTCAGCATTTGCTCGACGATCAGGGAAACTGGACGAAAACCTGATCGAGATGGGGGTCATTAACCCAGAAGATGAAGTACTATACTTGTTAGAGGTTCTTTACAATTATACAATCCAAATGATATATAATACATTCAATGTCATCGTTAACATTAATATTACTTTCCTTTTGGATGCTCGGCTTGCTTCGAAATATATCAAAGTCTCAAATTGTATAGAAACAGTTGTGCAGCAAAAAAGATTTTACTTGGAAATTAAACTTTTGTATCGAATTTAATCGTTTAATGTCTTCTGGCAAGGTGTAAAATAATGAACATATATTATATGTGAATTTTTTGTAGTGAGCTGTTGATACTGTTACCTGATGAATATGATTACTACGTTGAGTGTTGTAGTTGTAGACAACGGCATTTGCTGAAAATATATTCCCGTTCTTAAGTATGTCGTTTCGGACAAAAACCACTGAATCATATACAAAGAGATAAGGTAATAGAAGGAAAGGAAGGAAAAGACAAGGTAATGACACGAGGTCTCGCATCTAACTAAATAAGGGATCAAGAAAACCTGTGAGGATAATACATTCTCCGTAAATGACATTTCTAATTTTCACCTGTATGCTAATGCAATCGGTAGGGCGCGTCCTTGAAAACGTACGTAAATTACAGGTAAAGTCAGTAACTTCAAAAACTACTGTAATTGTTTGTAATTGTGAGTGATCCTTGAAAAGTATGTACTCAAACCAAGAATGTCTCGAGTTTAGATACTTATCTCTTATAAATCTTTCATAATACTATGCATCTTCCTAAACGCGTCTCGCTGTACTTACTTTTCATTTGCTTTGCGCGTGTTGTGCAAAAACTATTCGTTATTCCTTGTTATTGGCGAGATTTAGATTTTGATTTAGATTTATTTAGTAAAAAAAAGTAGTAAAAACAGTATGAGACGTATGTGAGAGAAGATTAACTGCGCAGGTTTTCTTGAGTTCCAGAATCCCTTCTCGTCATGTTAACTATGAATGATGAGTCAAAGTTTAAAGTAAATAAATAAAAATAAACTTCAAAAAATCGCGAGATTAGAAATATTTGAAAAAATAGACATTTTCGACTCCAATTATAGAAAACTTATTTTCATCGGAAAACAAATTGCTAGTATGATTTTTCTGCATTGCTAACAAAATAGTAACTTGCCCTTACCTCTATTCCTACCTACAAGCAAAAGGAGAGTTCAACAAAACGTACGCATAATGAAGCTACATTTACGTGCAGAAGCACGTAACGTTCGACGGAAATACACATTTGGGGGTCCTCTAATACTGAAAGTGGTTCTTTTCAAAACGTTCGTCTGTCTGTCCATCTATGAACACTAGCGCTTAAACCATGCGTAGGATTTTTTTCCAAACTGAAGAAACCCTTGCCTATTTGACTGAAGTCGAAGCTTTGAGATTTTGAAAAAGTTTAATTAAAATTGTCAGTACTTTTCAAGATGCCCCTGCGAAATTTTCAAAATTATCTGTTTTTTGTCTAGTCTAGTTTTTTTCAAATATTGCTAATCTCGCGCTTTTTTAAAAAAAAATATTTTTATTTAATTTAAACCTTTACTTATCTTTCAACTATTTACAGTTAAAATGATGGGAAATAATTCCGGAACGTGCGCAGATCATGTTTTCCCCCATACGTCACATATAGTTTTTACTGTTTTTTGACTAAATAAATCTAAATCTAAAGAGGAATACATTATATCTATTATTATTATTATTATTATTATTATTATTATTATTATTATTATTATTATTATTATTATAACATGTACTGCATGGAAGTCATTTTTTTAGATTTTAGTCAAAAAATAAAAAAACTGTAAAAACTGCATTGCACGTATAGGAGAGAAGTACAATATGTGCATATTTTCTTAAGTTCCGTAATCTCTGTTTTACTTATTTGTTGGTTGCATTATGAGTAAACGGTGAATGATCAAATAATTCATAATAAAATTCACAATTGATAATCTTATTCATAAATAATAAATACGAATAACGAAAGTAATGAATTAATTGAATTATTTCAGAATATTCCTTCAAGTTTCTTCAAATTTTGTTTTTATAATGCTCAATATGAATGGGCTTCATTCAAGAAATAATATATTTCGCACAAGTTTTTTTCTTGTTCGTTTCCATTAAAAGAGAAATTTTAAGTAAACAATTAAAAAAATTGGTTGTTTATCACATCTTTTACTGCTAAGTATTATAACATCACTTAGTTCTACGCACTGTTCAAAGTTTTCCTGTGGCAGCGAATGCCTATATTATATAAATGTCGTATAATAAATGAAAGAGCAGAAATTTGTCCAAGAAAACTCGCTTGCCGACCGACTCGAGCGAGGAACTCTTTCAACTATGTGGGAGGCATTCTTTGTTTCGATTTTCTGCATTTCTCGTCGCACATTTCTGGAAACATATTCCTCGGTGCAGTCTGTCGCGGGCCAAATACTGCCAAAAACTTACTAATTCACTAGGAATCGCTCACGCGCATAGTAGAGGTTGCCACCCAACTCTTTCCCGCCAAATGTTGCGTCATCATTCTGGACTTCTCTACAGCAGTACTAGATACGATCGCGAGATCTAGCGGCACGATTGAAAAAGACGCGAAATACAGTGGCGTAATGCCACCATAGATTAACATCCATGATTATTAGATTATTCATCCATGATGCCACCGTGAAGTAAGGCCTTACCGCACTATAATTCCAAAAATTAGCACCCAAGAATTCATCCATGAAAAAAAACCTACTTTGATTACAAAGGTTGGCAAAATGAAATGTGAATTTTATATTTGTTGTGTTGGTAAACTTATAGTGACATATGAAGAACAAAATCCGTTATTCTCCCAGCGTCTTCTTAAGATACTGTATCTATGCTCCAGAACCTCCTAGATAGTAGATGATTTAGGTGGAATTGCTATGCTATCAACATGTAAAGAATAGTCGTTTGACTTGTTTAAAACCACTTACTTAAATCGAAAAAGAAAGTACTATTTGGCCTTAGTACTTTAATTTCCAATTAAGTATAAAAATTGGTGGAGTCAACCCCAATACATTTAAATCATTATCATTTATTTATTAATTTGCACTATTCATTATTCACATGATACAATAGCTTTTAATTTTTTTAAATAAATCGTACATACACATTAACAAATTTATCTGTCGTGACAGCTTCACAAGAAATGATAATGCTGTATTTCATGCTCATCATTTTAAATTATTCATAGTTAAATATATATTGTATATTTCCATGATACAATATCTTTAATTTTTAAAATAAATTATACATTCACATACACAAATTTATTTATTTGTCGTGACAGCTTCACAGGAAATGATAATGCTATATTTTGTGTGTATCATTTTAAATTATATGTAGTTAAAAGTTTGAGATTAGTAAAGATAATTTCTCTGTTTTAAATGGTAGAATCGACACTTCACTGGCACAGGGTTAATTTAAAAAAATTGCAAAAATTAGAAATAACAAGAGAGATAAATATCGTGCACTTGTAGCACTACTAGTTTCATGTTTCTTTCATGACAATCTCCCAGATCCTTTTTCTGAAAATAGCTACAAAACAATTGCATCTTTGCTCAAAATACCGTTACTAATACCATTATAGGAACATAATATTAAATTTTTATACAAAAGTACTTAATAATAATGTTCATAGCTCTTATTTATTAGTATAAATAAGATTTATGACTCGAAATAGAACAACTGTAAGAACAGTGTATGTACATACTACAAATGATTTAAAATGATAATTGCAAAATAGAGCATTATAATTCCCCATGATGGGTTCCCCTAAATGGGTATATATGTAATGTTAAAAGTAAGTACATGTATGTGCGTGGTGTTCGCTTAACCACTTACCCCTTAGCATTATATCTTTAGGAAATTTAAAGTCTGTGAGAGGTATGAGATGCTCTGCAACATTTTCTTTTGCGAACAAAAACACCAAGAAAACCCATTTGAATTATAAAACTATTCCTACGCATGTGAAGCCACCACATAAATAGTCAACTG